CCAGAGTGAGACAGAACATGTGTAGAGGTGGGAGGAATGAACAAGATTAAGTCTACAAACTGAGGTCTAGTGGCCTCTAGAGGTAGTCATATCCATTACACTCCAAAAATAACCAGAGCTCAGAAGTTTCTACAGGAAAGGTAACATCCGATGAAGGATTACCAGAGCCAGAAGCTGATGGCAGCACATGCAAAAGAGGAGTATACCTAGACACACCACCAGCCAGCTGTCTTCCAGACTTATATTCAAATCTGCTGTTTCGTTTTAAATTGTAATTTTTTTAACCCAAATTAGCAAAAACTATAACTGTCAGCTTGTAGATGTTACTGTTTGATTTTCTGACATTAATATGCTCAGTGAACAGACTGGCCATTGGCACATGAGGTTTTTTACATTTTTGGTGTTCACCGGTTGTGTACAGGATAGTTGTTTATTGGAGGTCCCGAAAACATGATAACACACATGATAATAAGCATTAATGTACACCGCACATTTAAAGGAAATCGGCTCTTTAGTTTCCTGAAATCTAGAAATCTACAAAAATGCATACAAATAATAATACTACTACTAATAATAATAATAATAATGAAGCCCTGCTTTGTCATAAGCCCATAGAACAGTTTTGGTGCTCCTTAAATCTTTGAACTTGAAATAAACTTGAAATATAGTGAATGAATAGTGGTATTGTAAAGCGCTTTGGGTGCCTTGAAAAGCGCTATATAAATCCAATCCATTATTAAACAGAATTCTGCCTCAAAAAAAAACTTGACCTGATTTAAATGATCTCCTGTTCATGATCATATTGCTAGTCTGAGGTCACTCTCTGGTGGACCAGTTCTGATGAACTTCACTTTGTGCCCTGAGATTTCACCTGAGATGGACCTTAGACCTAATTTTTGACTATTCTTATTACCAACGTGTCTTTTACCAAAAAATAGGCTGATGCATTCATATTATCGCTGTCTCTCTTCATTTTTTGGCATAAGGAGAGGGATGGGACAGTAAAGTCTAGCATTGTGCATGCTCTAAAGGATGGCACTGCTTCAGATGGTAAAAATGATCTGTGGTGTTATATGCCTTGCAGTGCATACTACAGGACAAAATCTCTTCTCTCTGAAAAAAGAGCAGAGCATATCACCACAAACATTTCATACAAACTGTTAAGCACGATAGAGGATTTGGGCTTGTTTTGTAGCCACAGGATCTGGTTAACATGGAGTGATTGCACCTACCATGAACTCCCCTTGATTAAGATATTTTTCAGTCTAATGTCAGGCCATCTGTCTGAGAGCTACAGCCTTGCTGCAACAGGACTATGATCTTTAGCATAGCAACAAATCTCTGGCTGAAGAAGGAAAAAACAAAATCAAGGTGGCCCAGTCAAAATGCTGACTGTAACATAACTGAAATGCTGTAGTAGGTCTGTAAGAGAGCTGTACATAAATTAATGAAAACAAACATCAATGAAATGAGAAAACACTGTAAAAAAAAGTGTGGTCAGAATTGCTCAACAACAATGTATTAGACTGACAAAATTAAACAGAAAAGTAAAACTTAAAATTATTACTGCTAAAGGTTCCACAGACTACTAAATCGTGGGTTGAACTTTTTGTGTTTTTCACACTATTCTTTTTCACATGACCATGTCATGCACTATTATGTGAAAAAAATCTGGTGCATAATGCTTCTTGGTATCACTGTGCAGCTTCCTAGTTCTGTTCTGTTTTAGCATACTATTCTTCTCTGCTTTCTCTGATGCATTTATCTTCCCTAGGATAATGCAAAGCCCGTGATAGCGTCTGTGCAGCATCAGAAGTTTTGACATTCTTATCACCCTGGGTGCTGGCCTCGCAGGCTGAGCACGGCTAGGAGTAGCTGGACATCAAGCGGCTCTGTCCCCACACAGGTCATTTATTACAGCAGACTAAGTCTGATATCTGGCCACTGAGTGGACAGCCAGTCTCAAAGCTCATCCATTCCCACTTCAGCAGACATATCCATGATTCCCATTATGATAACATAGAGAGAAAGAGTTTACAGCAGTAATAAATGTGAAATCATCCAGACATTATGTATTACAGTGGTGTGAAAAAGTGTTTACCCCCCTCCTGATTTCCCTTTCTTTTTTATGTTTTTCACATCTAAATGTTTCATATCGTCAAACAAATTTAAATACTAGACAAAGATAACACAAGTATACACAAAATGTTTTTTCCAAATGAAAGTGTTTATTATTAAAGGGGAAAAAATCCAATCCTACACGGCCCTGTGTGAAAAGGGGATTTCCCCCATAAACCTAATAACTGTTTGGGCCAACCTTCGCAGCAACAACTGCAATTAAGCGTTTGCGATAACTGGCAATGAACCTTTTACATGGCTGTGGAGGAATTTTGGCCCACTCACGTTTGCAGAATTGTTGTAATTCAGCCACGGTGGAAGGTTTTCGAGCATGAACCACCTTTCTTAAGGTCGTGCCGCAGCATCTCAATCGGATTTAGATCAGGATTTGGATGGTTTAAGAAAAACAAATGAAGACTTTGGAGTGGCCTAGTCAGAGGTGGACTTGCTGGTGTGTTTTAGATCATTTTCCTGTTGCAGAACTCAAATCCGCTTGAGGTCACAAACAGATGGCCAAATATTTTCCTTAAGGATGTTTTGGTGACAGCAAAATTCACAGTTCCATTTACCACAGCAAGTCTTCAACGTCCTGAGGCAACGAAACAGCCCCAAACCATTATATGACCACCATATTTTCTGTTGGTATGATGTTCCTTTTCTGGAATGCTGTGATACTTTTACGTCAGATGTAATGGGACACACACCTTCCAAAAAATTAAACTTTTGTCTTGTCAGTCGACAGAATATTGGGGAGTCTTGGGGATCATGAACATGTTTTTTGGCAAAACTGAGACAAGCCATTACGTTCCTTTTGCTCAGCAGTGGTTTTTGTCTTGGTACTCTGCCATGCAGGCCACTTTTGCCCAGTCTCTTTCTTATGGTAGAGACATGAACACTGACCTTAACCTTAAGTGAGGCCTGCAGTTCTCTGGATGTTTTCTGGGATATTTTATGACCCCTTGGGTGAATTGTTGCTGTGCTCTTGGGTTAATTTTGGCTGGCCAGCCACCCCAGTAAAGTTCCATGTTTTCGCCATTTGTGGATAATGGCTCTCAATGTGGTAGGCTGGAGTCCCACAGCTTTAGAAACAGCTTTATAACCTTTTCCAAGCTAAGATATCTCATTTATTTTGTTGTTCAATTTTTCCTGAATTTCCTTGGTATGTTGTCGGGCTTTTGAGGATCTTTTGGTCTACTTCACTTTGTCAGGCAGGTCCTACTTAAGCGATTTCTTGATTAAGAACAGGTGTGGCAGTAATCAGGTGTGGGTGTGGCTAGAGAAATTAAACTCAGCTGTCCCAAGATGTGATATACCACACTTAGTTTATATTATAACACACCTTCATTTAGAAACTGCATTTTGTGTTTACTTGTGTTATCTTTGTCTGGTAGTTAGTGTGACAAACATACAAAAAAACAGGAAATTAGGAAGGGGGCAAATACTTTTTCACACCACTGTATCTAAACTGATATACTGTGACGGGAACACCATTTTTGAATGCAACACTAGCAGCAATAATCGTTTCTTTTACAATAAAGAGAAAAGAACTGGCTGGTTGAGTTTGAGAATCAGCACCGTGTCTGAAAAGGAAAACATGCTGGAACCTTCAAATTCTTCAACCATTTCTGAGATGAAAAGACTTTTTAATAAGGTGATCTGACTTTGTTTTCTAACACCAAAACCCCTGTGTGTTAAACTGAGGAAGAATGCCTTTACTGCCAGCCACTGGAGAGCCAGCTTTAAGGACCAACTTATGTGATCAGAAACTGCAGCTTTCTCGAGAACTGCTCATGCAAGCAACATGAGTGAGTGACTGAAGAAAAGAGTGTGTATGATTTATCTGAGGGATGAAATTTTAGGTTTAGCCAGCCCTCAATTTTTGAAACACCTTTTAAACCTAGTTGAGGCTTAAGATTTAGTTTTAGGGATATAGTTAGAATTAGGTTAAGAGTTGTACGGTTACTTGTGATCGTTAAACTTGGAAATGTTTAAGTGAATATAATAAAATAAATGGTGAAATAAATGTCCTCACAACAACAAACACACTGACACGCTTGTGTCACACTTTTGTGCTTATATGAGGGTTTAGTAACTGATGGCATTTTGTAAAGTGTGAGAGCCACACCACAAGGGGCCTTGACATGATAGCATAATGGCTCTGAGTACCCTGCCTTGGGCATCTGCTTGTGATTCTAATGGACACACATGACACCATCAAACAAAATGTCTTCTAATAATGTACTTCTGCGTCAGTGTCCTCACAATGAAGTGAAATCTGTAATATTTAAAAAAAATATAGCTATTAGATGAATCACTGTGTGATGCTGTTAGTGAACACAAGACACAGGACAAGACGTCCAGTTCAGTTTGGTGGAGATTGGGCTTAAAGAAAGTCATTTCCATAAACAATCATACAAATACGACTCACATCAAGCTCTATCAGTTAACTGTCTTTTAACGTGCTGATACAGCGATTCCGCAGATATCTGACTGGCCAGTTACAAAACGCCTCCCTTGTAACATATCATGATTCAGAGGCCTGCAGCTGGCTATCAGATGAAGTTTTACATGGTGCCTCTGATGGCTGAATGCGATTTGTTTTGATCCCTCGCTGTCACTGTGTTTGACGGATAATGGGTGTCAACCAGCCTCACTACATCTCCACCACAGACAGATTACTGACTGCAACACGCTATGACGCACCCCAAAGGGTCCAGAAGAGTGAAATGATATCATGAGAATTACCACACCTGAATATTAAATGCAAACCTGCCTATAAAGTATGTAAATAAGAGTAAAAAAAATTAAACTGAACTGAGTAGACAGTAGCACTAAACGTTGCACAGCATCGTAGAGTGTTTCTCAGTGAAGTGTTGACTCACCGGCTTGGACAGACACAGGTTTCTCCAACAGGAACACGGTCTGTTTCCAGTGTGTCTTTGTGACCTGAGGACCAGTGGAGAACATCACCTAGTAATGTGGAGAGGAAAAAAACATTAGCAGAGCATCCTAAAGTCAGTACTGAGTTTCTATAAAGGAGGATCACTTTGTCATTTTGTATTATTCTGCAAAAAAACAAAACATTTGAATGCTTAAGGACTTCAAATCTATTTATAGGGCCAGCTTTTTGTGAAAGAAATTAGCATTAATGTGAAACTATTTCAAAAGAGGAAACCATGTTTTTTTGAATCCTGTCAAATATGCCACAGAAAGCAGAAAAAAAAGGTGAGGTGAGTTTCTGTTAAAGCTGACCCACTCTTACAGCTATTGGTCTCTGAATCATTTATAGCTGAGTATGTACAATAAACAGAATCTTACTGAAATTCAAATCAATAGAATGCAACTTGAGTTTCAGGTAAAAGAGGAAGTGCAATCAGAAGGCGTGTCTGTGCTGCTCACACAGCTTGGCATCGCCTGTTCCAACTGGCCGGCTCTGCTGGGTAAGTGCTTGTATCAGCAGTCGGCTAGGACGCCCGTCGATTGCCAGCGAATGCCTCAGGGAGGAGGAACACGCTAAAGCGTGAACATAATTGAGTTTCCGTTAAATGGCTCGGTCGCTGCTTACCTTGTTGCTGCAGCCTTTGTCGAAGAAAATGTCAAAGTAGCCCACAATTGCCTGCAATGAAATATGAGGGGTGTGTTAGAATGTGACAGTACAATAAACCCCTGGATTTGTTTGACTACACTGCAACGGTGACATGCAGAGCTGAGAGAGCGAGTGCGCACGAGGCTGGAGGCAGACCATGTCTCGAGATATTAATGAGCAATATGAGCCACATGATAAGGACTGTGTTCAAGAACAAGACAGTAAAAACAAACTGGGAGAAAAAAAAACTTTCGATATGCACCCTTATCTTTGTGTTTAAAGTGCTCCTTAAAGGAGAAAGCGCAATTCAGCTTTGTCATGTTATTCTTACGTGTGAGAGTTGGGCATATCGATACAAATATCAATAGTATCAATAGTATTGATATCAAGGCTGGTATTGCTATTGGATCAATACTAGCATGATAGGATCGATACTTTGATCAATACTGCCACTAAGTTTAGTAGGAAGCCAACTAAACTACATTAATTTAAAAAATAATATAAAATAAACCTTAAACATGCACAATGAAAAATGTTTGAACCTTTTTGTGTTGACTTTCTATTTTGTTTCTAGCCTATAGAACATTTAAAGCACAGACATTGACAGAGACATGATCAGATGGATATTTACATTCCAGGCCTCCAAATTTGGTGGTCATTAAAATATGTTCAGAGTTTGAAAACTGAACATGATTCATCTCATGAATCACGACACACTGCTCTCCACTGGTATTGGTATCGGCAGTACTGTCCCTCTATTTACAGGGCCAGTGTGCAGTATTGCACAGCCCTAGTGTGTGGTCTGTAGAGCCACAGTGGCAATGCCAGCTTACATACAGTAGATATCAAAATGAGTTGTTTGGGAACTGCATTCTATTTTCTTCAGCCCCACTTCTCAAAAACAACTTGCTTTCTCATTTAGGCTGAGTCAACAACATGTCCCCGCGTGCTCCCTCTCACCTCGCTTGAGACTTGTCACTGGACAAAAGAAACAAATTACCGTATGAGGCAACACTGGGCGAAATTTGCTGACAGTAACAAAAATATATACCTTAGCTTGTTATATGAAATGATCAAAGGTGGCTATTTTGGTGGCAGTGTTCCAATAATGTAAAAAAAAATCTCAAAAGTCAGGAAAAGAAGAAAAGGAAAGGTTAAGGAAAACGAATGACGCTTTACTCCATACATTTGAATTTAAATCAACAATTCCCACAAGGAAAAGGGAAATCGGACATCTGAAAAATCTCTGGTCCAATAATGAGCTTTTAACATGTCTTACAGTTGTGTAAATTCACTAAAAGCCAGCAAGGAAGTGTGGTTTTTGCTCCAAAACATGCTCTGTAGTCCTGCAGCGCCATAAACACATTTGACTGAAAAACAAACTGAGGGAAAGTCTTTAGGTGACCATTGTCAAATATGAGGTGTAACCCCCCCCCCAGGTTTGTTTTCCTCTCATATCTGCCCCCACTGGAGGAACAAAGCCACTCTATCAATCTCAGGAGCGCACTTGTAGTGGCAATGATGCAGAACTAATAGCTTTTAATCCTGATGCAGCTGACAACTTGGAGGCCGGCTCTCTGAGACAAAGAAGAGCTGAATCAATGCAAGAGAGGAAAATAGTATACAGAAGAGAGGAAAGGAAGCTGTAAAGGTAGGAAAACAGACAAAAGGTAGGGAGACAAAAACTGCAAGGTAATGGAAGATGGGGAATGGAGGATGGGGAAACCATTTAAATGCCAGAGGGAATGCTGCTTCTTCTTTCAAGACATAAAATACAGTACCATCTGTTCACAGCTTCTGTAAAACTCTCCAAACAATTTCAGATTTTTTTGCAATACTAAAAGTATTTGCAGCACACTCAAAGATACACATACGCAACCCTGATAATCATGCTGCTGTCAGAAGCTGCGTTCAATAAACTCCATGCACCGAGGCTTCAATCAACCTTTATCGACTGAGACAGGCAGGGGCAGCACCGCAAGTCGCAGCTAAACCGTGAGAAAAGAACCCAAAGTGGATAAAAGAGCATGTCAACCCAATGCAATTATGGCTTTTAATGAACGCTACAGAGAAGCTCGCTGCTCAGGTAATTAGGAAATTAGCTGTAATTACTCGTCAGGCAGAGCAGATTCACCTCTCTCAACCAGAGAGGCAGAGATCATCCTCATCACGCCTCGTCGATGACAATGCCTCATAAGCGAGATTGATTGTCACTTCTTGCGTTGTGCAACTTTCACACAGCCAGCGAGACGGGCAATTAAAATTTAGGCCAGAGAAACTTGCAAATACACAAACAGCTTAGCAGCTCAGAGCCCCATTAAAATCGCAACTGAAAAAACAGGATGTAACAGCCTCATAAATAAAACAGAAGAAGATCAAATGAGGTCTGGATGACTCTCACCGGATTTGTACATGTTTTAGCACTTTTTTAATTAAAGAGGAAGAGAAGAACTTATCAAACTTATCCAGGTGTCCGAAATGACTTAGTAAAAGCTTGAAAGTTCAACTTCAGATGGCTATTGAAAACAGTAAAAAGAAGTTTGTTTATTTTCGCATGGAAAAAAAAAGGTGAATTCCCTGAAATGGAAATTATTTTAGTATTTAAACAGACAACAGGCATCATGTCACAGATTACACAGTTGTTATAGCTAACCAGAGGGCAAATATTTGCCCGTGTACTCCCATATTTATTTTGAGCCTTGTCTCTGTCCATCTGATCAATTTAAGCATGGTAATCTCTCTCTTTATTCCTCAGTTTCTCCAAAAACTGGGAAGGATACTAAATTACAGCACGGCATATAGCGTTTTTAAGACAAATACTAATGCCGATATTTTGATAAAAGTATTGGTCTCAGCATTTATGTCAGTTTTATGAGCTTATAATGTGACAATGCTGTCACCGATAACTTGTTCACACACTTCCTGACTTTGCTCAGATTCCAAACATGTGTGTGGTCATCAGGGACACTAAAGAGTACGCTCATGTGCACAAACTATACACCATCAACACTCATAACATGATTGAATGGCGTTTCTCACACATCTTTGCTTTTTTACTTTACATTTATCGACAGTTAATGGTACCAGTACTGGCAATGAGCAAATAGCTAATATCAACCGATATAAGACCGCCGCCAATGCTAAACAGTGATCTCTATGCTAAATGTTACAATTTTCTTCACCAGTAGATGGACTGCTCCATCTACTAAGCAGGTAGCAAATAGTAGGTGTTTGCTGGAAAAAAGCTGTCCTGTTTAGCGTTAAACAAAAAAAATTTTGTGTCATACCTGACATCTTATGAAATCAGATAAAAGCCTATGTTTCCTACCATATAGGGGATGAAGACAAAAAAGGGATCAAAAACATAAGACAGAGGAGAGGAAGCACAGAGCCACATACACACACAACCACACACCAAAAACAGGACAAATCAGAACGAGCGCTTTTCATTTTCATCAGCGTTTAGCCTTGGGCCCCGGCTCTGTCTGTGATAAGTGATGACAGTGGGATTCTTGGCAGCCCACGGAGGAGGCTCTGCAAGACTGCAGCTCTCCGGCCCCCATTCTCCAGGAAGAACAGGGGGAAAATTAATAATTATCATCATGGATAACACCAACAGGGAGCAATTCATCATCGCTCCTCTTTCGCCTGGCTATGTGTCAGCGAGCCGCGTGGCCCGTCCAGATACTATTATACGATGGTGGGGAGGGGGATGTATGAAAAGAGAGGGTGGGTTAAAAGGACGGAAAGGAAGGGGCGGTGAGGTGGAGGGAGGGAGGGGGCGGGAGAATAGAGGTCTAATGCGCTTTTGATGGGGTTTATCCAGGCGTGGAGGCTTCAAGCACGACCACCTCACGAGCAAGATGTTGTGAATTCCTCCCCCCTTCCCCCTACGTTTCTCCTCTCAGCCTCGCCATTCAACTGCAGCCATGAGGCTCAGGTGGAGCACGAGTCAGCACACCTGCAGGTGGTGTTCCTCATTCGTGATGCTCTACAGTAACAGTTAGAGAAGGTCGAGAGGCAAGCTGTGCAAAACCGACTGTTTGCTCCACTGCTGAGCTTTGCTCCTGAGTGCTTGATGAATGCACGAGTGGAGGGCATGTTAAAATAGCATAGTCACACGGCATGGAGACAAACTCCAGCTTTGTCACTTTAAAGCCTTTACCTTTGGGCGTTGGTCACTGTTAATTTGTTTGTCCCAAAGTGTGGGACACAGTAACAAGTAATAAGAGAAATTCAGTTTGAAATTAAGTATATCTTGACTTTGACTCTTGACTTTGGGAATGGCTGCTCTAAATCACTAATCAGGCCAAAGGCTCTTTTAATTATCTGTTAATTGGTTACATCCTGTATTTACTGACTAATTTTATACAGGTCACAGTTTTGTTTAATTAACAGGTTTACCAAATTTAGTAGATTGGTATTGCATTGGTCAGCAAATGCCCTTTTTAAATACTGAACCGGAAATAGTGCCATTATATGCTGTCAGTGCTGAATGTTACAACCACTATTCATAAATACATACAAGAATTACCACTGTTAGAATCACTATGGCTACTAATCAGTGTTAAGGACCTGGTGGATATCAGTTTGCTTTGACCTAACTTGAGGGAGCCCAGAACAAGCTTTATACAACTTTGTGATCACATATAATAATAATAACAATAACAGTAGTAATAGTGAACTGTATCAATGTTAGACAATGCTATTTGAAGGGAAAACACATTCTAAGCACATTTTTTTCCTCAATCAAATATAATCTAGCCAATAAAAGTGCTGCATGTATTACCCTTCTACAGACATGCAGACTTTTAAGTTTAAACTCAGAACACTTCCTCTGTAACTTTCAGGACATTTGCATAAATCAGTGTGCTGATGATGATTTGTAAGTGGAAATAACCTGCCAAGGCAGTTTTTTTCTGACAATCAACTGATAGCTTAACTCAAAATGCTGCATAGTGCTGCATTGTTAAGAGTTAGAGTGGATTTCTGAAAATTGTCCTTGAAGTTGAAGAGTACCTGTCCTGTCAGTCCAGAAGGCCACCCCCCCCCCCCTTATACACCCAATTCAAATTTGATGGAAAGCAGGTAAGAGATAGATTGCTCACTTTTTTTTCTCTGTAGCGCTACAGTAGCTATGTCAGCAGCACCGAGACAGCAGTGTTAAAATTAATTACAGACAGAAACTTATTCTCTCCTGCTATGCCATCAGCATTCATCTTTTCCACCCTTAGGAGAGGGGGTGAGATATTTTGCTACTCACTCTACAGTTTAGGTAAATGGATCATGATGGTAGCAATGCTTTAGAGGGTTAAGCCAAAAAAAAAAAAGATACAGATGCCAGACCAGTCAGAGTTTTAATGAAAATTTCAGCACATATAGTTTGTATGCAGCAGGTAGATTTCAACGTTTGCATGTAAACAGGGTGCAAAGTGTGTGGAATTCAAGAGGGAGGAAAGGAAAAAGGGACTGGGAAAAAACAGCAAGAGTGAAAGGATTTGTCTTGTGCGTGAGCGGCGCAGACGCAGGGGTTGTGCTGTTCATTTAATGCAAGGTTAGGCAGGCTGAGCTGATGAATGGACTGTCGATAGGAGAACAAAAGCAGGCGCTCCATCACAGGACAGGAGAAGCAGCTCTCTCTCACCAATCCCTGAGCACTGGTCCAGGAGCAGTTTACCCTTCACACACCCCAATCTTAACTACTACTGAGGAGCTGTGGCCAATACTGACTACAGGTCAGTGTCTTTATGGTAACAACATGCTACTCCCACAGGGCAACAGTCCATCTGTAAATCCTGAGACAAGCAGGCTGGATACTCAAGGCAGGTATTTACAATTTACACAAGTGACACTTAGAGTACCTGCATTATAAATGCAACAAAACCAAAACAACCCTACATGAAACAAGCATGACTGAACAATAAATTGTACACATCAGACATACACACACATACAGTATCTGTCCTCCTACATACATCACAGCAACTGAGAATAATAAGACATGTGAAACAACAGGAAGAAAGCAGGACAAAGTATTGCCAAAAAATAACAATAAACTGAAAAACCACTTCCGTAATATATGATCCTATCATCTGTTACCTCTAACATGACTGGACTTACAATCCAGAAATAGAAACGGGATGTTTTCAATTACAGAGCAGAGAAGACAGGAAAAATGAAAGGATGTTTACAAATCCCATTAAATCCACCAGCCTTACCCAGGGAGCACAAGCCAGATAATAACCACCTATTGATTATCCATTAAACCCATACACCAGTGCGGTAACACTGCAGCACAGCACAAAGCTGCTTCAACACAATAGGCCTTGTTATGGACAAATCACTTCTCTCCGAGCCCACAGTAGTGAGGCTCTTCTTTAGCTGGGTGGTTATTATTGGTGTTGCAGAGAGAAATGTGTCTGTGATGCTGTAGGAAGTTCATGGAATTGGGTGGCATGACTGGAGGGGCTGATGGTGGCTGCCAGAGCCAGTCCAAATAGACTCATAAAGCATTCTTCATGCTTTGGTGCCATGCACTTCAATTTTGTACTGAAGTTTTTGGTCAAGCTGACCTACTCACAGGTTCAACTAGGAGTCAGATAATGCCTCACACAGGACTACAGTTGTTCTCATCATTCCACATGTGCTTTGAGTGCTAAAAATAAATAAATTAACAGGTTGAGCAAACTTTTGGAAGGGCATACACAAATGTGGTTTGAATATTACCAGTTAACAAGGCTGGATTAGCTTTGAAATCCTTTCTTTTAATATGTGCTTACATGTTTTTAACCCACAAAGTATTTGTGGGTGATGAAGTAATTAATTATGTATGACATGGAAAGCAAAGCAGGCCATGTACACTGACTATGTTGTATGGCATGCAATACAAAATCACATTAGCCTGGTGTCTCCAATTCAAGCTGAAACTCTATTCAACATCCAACTGAGAGACAATACAGAGACATAATATATCAGCACGTGCTGACAGATATCTCTTCTGTTTGTACCACCTTGTTCCTTTCACGCAGTATTTCTGATAAATGGTTGCGGATGTACAATGTTGTTTCAGGGGCTTTTTGTGTAGCATGTGGACAGACTACAAATGAACAAAAGCCAGCACGTATATATCTGACTTACCGTGCAATCTGTGGTGTTTGTTATCTTCAAGTGGAAATCTGATGAAAACTCCAGCTCAGACAGACACACTCTGTTACAGTCAATTGTCTGTAGGGAAAAGGCAAAACTGCATTTAAAAAAAGATTAATAATAATAATGACAGTGTGAACTGTGAAGTAATTCAAAGAATAACAGAAAAAACTTGTTGGTATACTTTGCTTTTGAATTTTACATAGAGTCTGTGACAGAGTTTGTTTGTTCATAACAGCAGAGTTGGTCAAATCAAAGCTCTTCACCAAGTTTGGGCGAGTAGAGATTTCTTATAATAGTGTGGCTATCTTACAAAATCTCCCCAGTAGTTCTCTATTGTCACTATGTCTGAGAGAACCAATGCTGACATGTTGGAAATAACATACCTGTACACAGAATTGTTTACTGAGAAAATTAAATGTGCTGTACAGGATGCCTTTGTTAATCTATGTTGTGTTTTAGAAGTCAATGCGAACATGTTAGCATCAGTGCTTTGTTCAGGTACTGCCTGGCAAATTGAAAACTGGCATATTTTCCTGCCATCACTGTGTTTTTTTGGTACAAAGCTATGATTTCACTCACTATAAATGGTGATTTTTTAAATAAATTGCATTTCTGTTAGAAATCTCATGCAAATATATGCTTAGAAAAAAGTTGGAAAGTAATTATATTTTGACTAACTCGAGTTGGCCAAAAAAAACAAAAAATGTCTCCCTACTGGAGACAAATAGCTGACTGCAGCCCAGTTAAAGGGCGCTTTAAAGGGTACTATCCCCTACAATTGTCACAAAAGAGGAAATGATTCCTAAATCATATCCTGCACCTGTCTATTATCCTGTCAAGGGTGGGAAAAATGACTTTCCTCTACAGCATTCTGACAATCATCCGACATTATTTATATAGCAACTCTAATTAGATACACTCTCCCACTGAGCACCCAGATCAGTTAAATGAATCATGTTACTTTATAACAGTTATGGTGACTAATTAGGGCTGTGACAATTTACTTACTACAGCTTTCAATAGTAACTGGAAGCTGAGAGCCAAAAGCAGAAAATTGAATACATGCCAAGAACACTTCTCTTTGTTCATTTTAGCGATTGCGAGGACTCAAACATAGAGGATATTGTTTTTACATTCATCACTCAGATACTAGAATTAGATCAGACTAAAAAGTAAAATATAGATTTAAATATAGAGTGATTTTGGATAGAATCTTACTGGTAGTGGAGGAATACAGTTGTGTTGGAGTCAAATTGTTAAATGTTGCCATTATTGTACTTAAATTTGTAAGTCTTGGTTCAAACTGTAGGATCAAAGACATTCCTTTGTTTCTGACCACCTCCCCAGCCAGTCTGTTGGTGGGGGAGGCTATAGTGTTTTATTATGGGACATCCTATGTGAGGGTTCTGTTTTGTTGTTTAGTAATGCTTGTGTTCTCAGAATAAAAGGCTGCAAGGAAGGCTGTTTATTTGAAGTTGGCTAGGAGACAGGTGAGGAGCGGTTAGCTCCAAGAGCCTGGTTCCAACCAGCCTCCCTTGCTAGCAAGTAAAAACCAGTTAAAGCTGTTCGTCTTCCTTCCTTGCTTTGTTAACGGGAATAAGTTTCTAAACCAGCGGGGCCTATGGAAGCGCAGACCCAACAAGTTGTACTGCTATAGTGGGGAAAATAATTATTTGGTCTTCTGCTGAATTTGTAAGTTTGCTCTCTCAAAAAGAAATGAGAGAGGCAGAATATCTTGGCTGTCACTTGGCAACTTGAAGTTTCAGTTCCTTCTCCAGATTTTCTACAGGACTGAGGTCTGGAGACTGGCTAGGCCACTCCATGGCCTGGATGTGCTTCTTCTTTAACAACTCCTTTGTTGCCTTGGCAGTATGTTTTGGGTCATTATCACACAGGAAGACCAATCAGCACTGTTTAGGCTGTGGAAAGGAGGTTCTCTTCCAAGACATGGTCCCATCTATTGGCAGTGAAGTAATCCTGTATCCTTAGCAGAAAAACAGCCCCATGACATAATGTTTCCACCTCCATGCTTGACTTTGGGGATAGTGTTCTTTGGGTCGTACATTTCTCTCCCTCTAAACTTAGCGGGTCAAGTTCATGCCAAAGAGCTTGATTTTGGTTTCTTGTGATCACAGCACTGTCTCACAAGCCTTCTATGACTCATCTAGATATTCACTGACAAACTCGAGAGAGGCCTGTACATGTGCCTTCTTGAGCAGGAGGACCTTGCAGACGCTGCAAGATTACAATCCATTACAGTGTAGTGTGTTTCTGATGGTGTAGTTGGTGCCTGTGGTCTCAACTGCCTTCAGATCATTAACAAACTTCTCCCGTGTAGTTCTGAGCTGATCCATCACCTTTCTCATGATCATCCTCACACCATGAGGCAGGGAGACTGAAATTGTTTATATTTCTTCTATTTCCAAAAGGCTGCACCAATATTTGTCTAATCAAGCTTCTTGCTGATAGTCTTGTAGCCCATTCCAGCCTAGTGTAGCTCTACAACCTTGTCCCTGGCCCTTTGACAGCTCTGTGTTCTTGGCAATGGTGGTGGAGATGTTGGCATGGAAGAAACTGTGGACAGTGCTTTAAGCATACGAGTTGAGATCTGTAGTATCTGTAGTTAAGTGATTGATTGTAACCTTTGGGTACACAGCCAATCTGTGGAAGCCAGAATTCTGGCTGGGTAGTAACTTTTATGTAATGTGTTTTTTGATTTGTTTGTTTTTGTTGTTTGCATTTTTTTCTCTCTCTCTATTAAAATTAATCTATCATAAAAATTAGAGAGAATGTTAATTTCTTTGTAAATGAGCAAACTTATAAATTTAGCAGGGAATCAAATAATGATTTCCCCTACTGTATGTAGCAAACATTGCGCTTTTCTTAAGAAACAATTTGGAGTACCAAGGAGCAAAATTACTTCTTAAGCTATTTATGATTGGAAACAACTGCATAACATAAGGCAGGTTTAAAGGGAACAAATTAAACATTGCTCAGATTGAACATTGCTATCTCTTCTCACTGAGAGTAAAAAAAACTTATCTGCTTAGCTGGAATATATAATTCCATGAAAGGGCTCTCAATTTTCCGGAGTAGCAGCCAGCTTTAATGGAATGTTATTGGATCGTATCAAAGGGAGGCAATAGATGAGAGTCCTTGTAATTTGGGCAGAGGGGCTGTCTATTTGTCACTGGAGGGGAGAAACTATCGATTAGAGGTTTCAAATTCCATTACATCAAGTTCTACCCTCATTCATCACATTCTGAGATGGGTGGAGGACACGGTACTTAGCAAACAGGCCAACTGGCAAAAAAAAATCCCACATATAAAAGGTATTAGAGAAAAGAGGAAAGAGCAATCCTTCTGAGATATATCCACAAAAGGTGTTCTTAGATATGAGACTCCTTGTGTCTTTATCTGCATATTCTCTGTATACCACTCTCCCACCAGCACAGCTAAAACTACTCTGTCCTCAGTGTGCTGAGAGTAATGAAGTTTCCTTAAGAAGAACTTAAACAAGGATTAGACAGATCAATCACCCAGCTCTACAGCATCACCACACACACACATGCACATACACACACAAACTATAAGGCCCTATCTCTCTATACAGCTAACTGCAGCTCTCGTTCTCTGTCGATGTTTTAACTGCCTGAGCCCTGAAGACTCTATTTCTCCCATTTGTGTGTACAGGTGTATTGCTGCAGAACATTTTTACTTGTTCGTGTCATCAAACGAAGACAAAATTGAATATCTGATCTCTAATCACTGCAACACAAATAAGGCAGAACAATAAAAAAAGTCAAAGTTGTAAGCTTGATCAAAAATATCTGTGCAAAGTCAGATGAGAGAAAAAATAGAGTTTAACTTAAAGAGACAAAAAGTTTCTAGTAGTTATTTTGGTTGACAAGTCACGTTTAATTATCTACTGTGTGTCCAGCCAAAAACAACCCCAAATAAATACAGAGACAAGCCAACCATTTAGGTTGTATTGTCATTTTATTTGGTAAAGGACATTACTTTTAAATATCAGCCTTGCCACTGGATTTGCAAAGGAGCTACACAGAAGGTTGAATGTTTACCTGTATGACTGTAGGTTCAGAGATGAGTGTGTCTGCTTTCAACACTTCCACCACAGCCTCTGGCACCACAGCCTTCTTCATGCATGTCATGTTAAAGCCATATACATCATCCCAGAATGCAATGCGTTCTTGATGCTTCTGTACATCACCCACAGCTGCCAGGCTGATGTTACAAAGGTCTGGGTACACTGTGAGGAAGCGAAACAAACAAATGACCAAAATTAGTAAAACAGCATCACCACTGTTTGATCAGTAAGCCTAAACACTCACATCCAGCAGAGAAACTGCCAAATTTGGGCTAAAGTCAAATAGCCAAAAAACAAAACAAAAGACACTTAAGTTATATCTCTTTTCCATAACATGAATATTCCTTCAAATCCTTTCTTGACCTTGTAAAGACTGACAACAGTTGCTCATCCTTCAGCACATGCATACTTTCTCTTCCTGCCCACTTTGAGCTTTTTCATCGATCTGTTAATCTTTACTTTAAATCTTGCCTATATTTCAGCTTTCAGTCCCTTTAATTCATGTAATATTGCTTAAGGATGATGATAAAGGCACGCAATAGAGCAACACTAAAAATGAGGAGACAACTATGTCAAATAGAGATTAAATAAAATATTCTTTCTCGCTTTTAGTTTTTTAATGTAGCTATTGAGTAGCAATCTCATAAATACTGAACTATGAATATTGTAATAGTGCAAGTTCTTTATAGGTTCATTCAAAATATACAACATACCACGATGTAATACTTTAAAATACAAAACACAACATCAATGTGTGAGGATCTTCCTGTGATGGGTGGTGCATCACTTAGGAAAACTTCATCTCCTTTACTTTGGTAAGGGATGGTGCTGTGTACCCTATGAGGTGCAGCTGAATTGACCACTTGCACTTATAGTTGTGGGTAGAGTCAGTGGAATTGATAACATTTGGCATAAGAGAGCAAACAAATGGAAATTCCCCAAATTCCTATCATGGTTGCCACTTAGATCTTTTTGAGCATTCCCACAACCAGTTCGTGAGTGGTTGCTGGAATGATGGCATTCACAAAGAGCAACACAGTGCTGGACTGAAAACCTCCTTGCAAATACTTTATTTGCAAGCAGATTGCTATGGTTGCTCAGAGTTTTTGTGGAAGATGAAGACTTGTCTGCAAGCTCTCCTAAACTACTCTTTCACCAGTAGTGAAAGTATGAAAAGTACGATAACAACCAGAAATGGAGACCGTCTACCTTCAAAGTAAAAACTCTAAAAAGGTGTTGGCTACAGTAATACATGCAACTTTTACTTTGAAGGCGGATGTTCTCCATTTCTGGTCTCAATTGCACTACTTCCAAGTTTTACTCCTGCTCGGCTAGTAGTTAACAAGTGTTTGTAGACAAGTCAGCATCTTCCAACTAAAGTTGACTGCGGCACCCTGTCTGCTGATGCTACACCCTGTTTGCAGTCTATTTCAGTCACCTTTTCGCTCACTATGTGTTTATACACCTTGCTGTATTCAGTTATTAGTTATTATTAATCTCTGGCTCTCTTCCATAGCGTGTCTTTGCCCTGTCTTCCTCCCCTCACCCCCAACTGGTTCCAGCAGATGGGCTCCACTCCCTGAGCCTGGTTCTGCTGGACATTTCTTTCTGTTAAAGGGCAGTTTTTCCTTCCCACTGTCACCTAAGCACTTGCTCATAGGAGTCTGTGGTGGGGCATGATCTCCGGTGCAGCTGCAGGGGAGACAGATGCACCTGAGCGACATTCGCAATCACGCCTCGCCGGCATAAAGAGTCCGTACTGGGTCCCCATGTGGTAAAAAAAAAAACAGGATAAATCCCCCAAAAGCATTTTAAACAGTGATATGCCCCTCCTCAGTTGGTAATGCATTTAAATTGAATTCAACTGTTGCTTTAATTTTCCGAACAATACAAAACACACTCCAGTAAAATAACAGCACCAAACATATGTATCACTGTCCACAGTTTTGAAGGACACTGAATCTGTATCCTGAACACTTGGAAGGCTGCCCAGACAACAATGAGAGAATATTCTGGGATTTTATTTACTCCACTCAAAAGATCATTAATCACAACTAAAGGAGAGAGTGAAAAAATCTGCTCCCATAAATGTCTGTTCTCAGTGATGAGACATCCTTAATGTCAGCAAATTTAATAACTCACAAACTATTCAACAAATTTAATCAGAGAACGCCTTAAGATCCTGGGGGTGTGGAGTTTTGCATCAATTTCATGAAGCTCCTTTAATGACTGTATCCATCACATGTGCACAAAACATTGACCTGATTACCACTTTGTCCTACTTTCATTCTTCACACTTTACTTTAATACTAAATGGCTCAAGACAAAGGGTGTGGACACACATCCAATTCCAAAACCATGGCTAGCCTCCACTCTTCAGAAACGTTTCCCACAAAAATATAGAATCTAGTAGAAATTCACTCCCCTTTATCAGTTTGAAAGCATAAAAGAAGTCAAGTACTAATGCTTTATCTCCATTAAGTATCAGCACTCAAACTGCACTCACAGTTCTGTGCACAGAGTTCCCACAAGAAATATCTTGTCAAGAAGTTAGCATTGTGCACTGGATAACTTCTGAAGAAGAGGGAAAAAATAGTTAACTCATTTTCCCCTTCAAGCAGACACAAAGACAAAAAAACACAACAACAAAAAAACCCAACCAACAACTTCCTTCTGTCCATTATCCCTTTCATTACTTTAGGTGCTAACGAAAGTTCCACAGCATCAATAACAGTGTTAGTCTGCCTGCACTTGCCTGCTCTCGCTCTCTCTCTCTCTCATTCAGCAGCAACACTGATAACTATGCTGTGTGATAAAGAATGAGGGAGAAAAAGCTAAAATTGGTGTGATCCCAGACTACGACTGATTCATTACTTGTGGAAAAGCAGATTGAGGCTTGTTACAGAAACATATGAAATGGTAGCCTTTTGAGGCAATTTAAGATTGTGGTGTGACCCCAAAACTTTAACTGACACAAAATAATTACTGATAAAAAATAAGCACATTTTTAAAATTATTTTCCAAATTTTTTTACAATATCCTGCCGCCTCATAGGAAAAAAACTCTTATAAGATGTATTATAATTATATAACACTGTCTATCAAATGAACTATCTGCATCACAAAATGAGCATTAAACATGAGTTAATGTCTTGTCATTGTATTTTCACATCTGAATAAATTTCTTTGGATGACTAATATGCTTGGTGATTAAGTTAGAGCTGAGATGCTTGAAGCCATTGCTGTTCCTACTGTGAAGCAACATTAGTCAACACTGAGGCCTAGGGCCTAAACTAGAGTTTAAAACACTCATGAGGATATAAAACTACTCCTGCTACTAGTAATGCAAGTATCAGCCCCTGTGCTAAAGACATCTATAACAAACAACCAAAAAATAAACAATGTTTAGTACCTAACTAGAGACCACCTTGTGACTCAAGCCATGATGGACGTACATCTGGGGTTTGTTTTGATGTCAACTATATACCCGTAAAGAGTTTTTGGTACAGGATAGCTGTTCCACAGACAGACATATTAATGCCTGCCAAAGTACTCAAAGTCACCTTTGAGGTAATCCCTGCTACAGTAGGCGTGTCCAGCACTAGACTTTGCCAAGGGGACACACACGCACAGACACACAAACGCACGTCCAAGGACACAAAGGTCACACTAACATTATCTTCATGTCACTTATTTCTCCTCTGCAACAAATACAAAGTGATTAAAAAAAATTTGTATGATGAACAATCACAGGAAAAACAAACTCTTTGAGTTCTAAGATTTTATATGTCACGACATAATAAAAAATAATCTGGTTCTTAACAGGTCTTAAAATCAGATAAATACGACTTCAGATGGCCTGCAAAACATGAATTACATCACGTATTCTTTATTTCACAATTTCTATAGGAATCATTTCTACATGGAGAGGTGCCGCTAATCAAATGCACTTGATTAACTGATCATAGGCAAGTGTGAGCAGCCCTTTGAAAGCAAACTTTTGGTGTTTTTCGGTTTGTGCGTCTGAAGTATTCAACACAATGCCAAGGAGGAAAAATGTAGTGCAATGATCTTAAGAGAAGCAAATGGGGCTATAAGGCCATTTACAAACAATTTCAAGTCCATTGTTTTATAGTGAGAAAGATTATTCCCAACTGAAAAACATTCAAGATGTGTTCCTCTCTTGCCATGAGTGGACATCCCACCAAATTCTCCCCAATGTCAAACTGAGCAATTCTTAGAGAAACTTCTCTTCTCTCTGAAAACTACATGGTAGCACAGCGTAGGTTTGCATCTGAACAAACCACAAGATTTCAAGAACAAAGTCCTTTGAACAGACAAGATCGAAGTGACGATGTTTGGCCAAAATGCACATCGCCACATTTAGGGAAAACCAAACACAGCATATCAACACAAACACCTCATACATGCATGGTGGTGGAGGGGTGATGATTTGGGCTTGTTTGCAGCCACAGGAACTACGCAATCAGTGACTAGACCATGAACTCCACTGTATACCAGTACTAGTGTTAAATGTGAAGCCATCTGTCGGACAGCTGAACTTGGATGAAACAGGGTAACCGCAACAATCACGCAATATCCTGTGCTGCTGTTCATCTCAGGATGTATCTCATTTTAGAACCTGTAATGACAATATTTTTGTTATTATGTCCCAATATGCAAAACCCTAGAATGAAGCAACACTTGGAAATGATGGAAAAAGGACAATATTTTGAGATTTTTTTTAACATAAAAACAACATGAAACAAAATCAATTTATCAAGTACTTTATGTAATAAAGAAAAGGGTAAAGCATAAAATATTATAAGCAATGGATTGTTTAATTGTAATATACGTGTAATGTGACAAACCTGGCCTTGTTTTTCCTGTGAAGCATATCATAAACTTTTGCACAGAAGATATTTATAGATTTAAAATTATCACATTTGAATCATTGTTGCTGGCATACGTGTTTGTGTTCAGTCTCACATGACCTTCGACCCACCAGGCTATAAAATGCGTGAATGGATAGTGACAGCTCAGTGATGGGTATCTCATGGCTTCTCATTATTAGCTGAAGCCTGCCTGTGACCCTGTGAGTGTCACTATACCTAATGACTGTGCACACACATTTTCACCAACACATAGGCACGTAAACATTGGACTTGTCACTTCATTTTACTCTGATTACTGAACCGAGTTAGGGCCAGGTGAGGGGAGAGGTGCTGATTGGGCAGAATCTGGACTGATGGTCTGAGAGAAAGACTGAAAAAGAAATGAAGACTGAGAGATGAATGGGCAAAGGAGGGGGTATTGTGGAATAGCTGAGAAAGAAACG